TTTATTTATTTATTTATTTATTTATTTTGAGATAGGGTCTTGCTGTGTAATCCACCATGGCCTCAAACACAGCAAGCCTCTTACCTCAGCCTCCGAAGTGCTGGGATTACAGGTGTATACCACTGCACCCAGCCTCAAAACTTTACTGAATTAATTTATTAGCCCTGACAGTGTGTATATATGTGTGTGATCTTTATGGTTTTCTAGATACAGATTATGTTATCTGTATACCATTATAGTTTTACTTATAGCCGGGTTTGGTGTTGCAAGTCTATTATCCCAGCACTATGGGAGGCTGAGACAAGAAAATTGCAAGTTTGAGCAACTTTATGAGATCCTGACTCAAAAATAAAGGATTGGAGATGTAACTCAATGCTAAGGCCCTGGGTTCAATCTCTTAGTGCTGGCTTTTTTTTTTTTCTTTTCATTTCAATTTGGATGCATTTTATTTCTTTTTCTTGCCTAATTTCTGTGTTTGGAGCTTTCAGTACAATATTGAATAGAAATAGCAAAAGTGGGAGAAAGCTTTCAGTTTGTCACCATTAAGTGAGTTCGTTGTGACTTTCTTTTTTCCTTTTCTTTCTTTCTTTTTTTTTTTTTTTTTTAATATTTTAGGGAAGGGTCTACAGGGTGTTTAGGGTCTCACTACTAGATAGGACTCATAGTGATCCTTGTTTTAAGCCTCCCAAGTGCTGAGATTACAGGCATGCGCCACCACGCCCAATCTCAATTACTGTCTCAGCACACCCCGCGGGCAGGGCTGGCATAGCACACCAGGGAATCGAGCCCCCAGCCTCTGCACTCTGCCTAAGCAGGCATTTTAGTTCATTGAGCTATTGGCTGTCCCTGAACACACCAGTTTTTTTGTTTTTTATTTTTTTGGGGAGCCGGGAATTGAACTCAGGCCCTTGTACTTGCCTTATTCTCCTGAGCTATCTCCCAGCCCCAACACACCGTATTGAAGTATTGTTATTTGTTTGTTTTACACTGGTGGGTGGTGCCAGGTTTTTGACGGCTCATATAGGTATCAGCCTGACTGGATTAAAGGACACCTAGAGAACTGCTAAATGCTGTTTTCCAGCATGCCTATGAAGAGCTTCCAGGGAAGCCCAGTGCAGGAGTCTGAGTGGCCTGAGGGAGGGGGATCTACCCCGTGCCTCTGGGCACCCTCCAGCCACTGGCGGGTGCAAAGAACACATAAGCAAAGGAGCTGCGCATTGGTTCTGTGTTTAGGAGCTAGGACATTCTCTTCTCTTGCTCTCTCTCCAGCTTAGATGAGTGATTTCCCATGTTCTCCTGTCTTAGGCCGCAACTGAGCCATGCCCCAGGCCTCCCAGGTCTGCAGGACCCAAGGTAGGAGTTCTCAGCCTATGTCATCCTGTCACGCGTTATCACCCCGTCATCTGTCTGTCCATCGTATGGACTCTGTCTCTGGAAAACTGACTAATAGAATGCCCAAACTCCTAAAAACAGTGATTCCGGTACTTGTACGCAGGTGTTCACAGCAGCAGTACTCACAGTAGGTATACTTTTGCACCAGGTCATGAATGATTAAAAAAGTGTGAGATATGTGTATACATATGATTCAGCTATGATGCTTTGTGAGTGAACCTCAAAAATATTAAATGAAATAAGCCAGACGCAAAAGAAGAAACGTGGGGCTGGGGAGATAGCTGCATAGAATAAGCACTTGCCTGGCAAGCGCAAGGTCCTGAGTTCAATCTCTGGTACCGCAAAAAAAAAAAAAAGGAAGAAATGTGGCATGACTCCACTTACATGAAATTTCTAGAATAGGAAAATTCCTACAGATAGTAGGTGAGAGGTTGCCAAGCATGGGGGTGAGGTATTTATAAAGTCTTATAATTTAAGGGCTAGGGACTGGTGAGATGGCTCAGTGGTCTAAAGCACCTACTTAGAACAAGCTTAGCAAAGCACAGGGACCGCGGTTCGATCCCCCAGCACCACATGCCAGCCAGCGCTGCCCCCTGGTGGGCTGAGCTGGCCACACACACACACACACACAAGTAAATTTTAAAAAAATTAAACCTTGCTTTATTATCATTATCATCATTATTATTTTGCATTCTCAGTGGCATGCTTGAAAATGTAAGAGACCCATGAAGGAGTATGTTCTAACACTTTGTAGATTTGTCTTTAGTGTATTTAGTACAAGGCCTCCAGGGTCTCACTACACAGATCGGACTCCTGTTTTTAGCCTCCCAAGTGCTGGGATTACCGGCGGGTGTCATGCCCAGTCTCAGTTGCCATCTCAGCTCACTGTGGGAGCGGGACCAGCACTGCAGCTGGGGATGAACCTGGTCCCTGCATCTACCTAAGCAGGCACTTTAATCTGCTATCTGGCCAGCCCCACATTGTAGAGTCTTATAAGCCTTAGACTGAAATGTATAGAAAGTGCTTAATAACAGTACCCCATAAAATTTCAGTCAGGTGGCTATTACTGGTATTGCAGTAGACCTAAGAATAACCAGAAGTAGATACAGAGAATCTACAATATAAACTGCTAATTCAAAGGCTGGCCAAATAGCTCAGCAGATTAGAGCACCTGCAGGCAGGTGCGGGGGCCAGGGGTTCCATCCCCAGGCCTGCTGTGCTGGCCCTGCCCTCAGGGCGTGCTGAGACAGCAGTTCAGACTGGGTGTGTGTGTGCCTGTAACACCAGCTCTTGGGAGGCTGTAAACAGGCAGATCAGAGTCCTGTCTAGTAGTGAGACCCTGAACACCCTGTAGACCCTTCCCTAAATTAAAAAAAAAAACTGATTCAAAAATTTAAAACCAGGTGTGGTGGTACACACCTGTAATCCCAGCACTTGGGAGGCTGAGAAAGGATTGCTTTGAGTTCGAGGCCAGCACATGGAGAAAGCCTGTCTCAAAAAGACAGAAAAGGACTGGGGAGATAGCTCAGGGGTGTAAGTGCCTACCTGGCAAGCACAAGGTTCTGAGTTCAATCCCTGGTACCAAAAAACAAAAAGAGACAGAGAGAGAAATTTAACTGAGCAGCCAGGCATCATGGCACACATGTAATTGCAGCACTTGGGAGGCTGAGGCAGGAGGATTGCCATGGATTTCAGGCCACCCTAAGGTACATAGTAAGTTCAAGGCTGGCTGACCTGAACAAATAGTGAGACCCTGTCTCAAAAACAAAAAGAAAATTTAATTGAAAATAAGATGGAGACAGGCTACAGGACCAGTTCTCTTTTTAAATATATTTATTTATGCACTTATTTATTTTGGTACTGGGGGTTGAATGTAGGATCTTTGCATTGAGCCACATTCCTAGCCTTTTTTTTTTTTTTTAATTTCAAGACAGAGTCATCGGGGCTGGAGAGATGGCTCAGTGGTCTAAAGCACCTACTTGGAACAAGCTTGGCAAAGCACAGGGACCGCGGTTCAATCCCCCAGCACCACATGCCAGCCAGCCGCACCCCCTGGTGGGCTGAGCTGGCCACACAGACACACACACACACACACAAACACACACACACACACAATAAATGTTAAAATTAAAAAAAAAAAAAAAAAACAGAGTCGTCTTACTAAGTCATTAAGTTGCTCAGACTGGGCTTGAACTTGAGATCTTGCTCTAGCCTCCCCAGCAACACCTGCATGCAGGCAGATGGGAGATTAATTATTCTGCTGTGTTAATTGTTGAGGAATAACTGAGAACAATCAAACCATGGTAGGCAGGAAGAGGAATTTATTGGAAAGATGCTGAGATCTCTCTGGATGCAGGTCCAGGGTCAGTGCTACAAAAGACGCTGGGACTGAATGAAGTGCCTTAGGGAGCCGAGGAAGTTAGATCTCATCTCTGCTCTCCTGAAATCACATGCTGGGATTTGGCTACCAATGGCTTCCAAGGTTTATGGACTACAGTCCATGTCTAAAGAAAGTTATAAAGTTCTGACAGAAGGAAGTACGAGGCTGGCGTGGTGACAGTGGATAGAGACACAGCTGGCTCCAACACGGGACGCCCAGCAGGCATCCTAGGACGCCTCTAATACACAAGGTAGGTCACTTGGTGTGAGGGGCTGGGTCTCCAGTGGAATGGTGGCTTTCTTCCAAGTCATGGAGTCGGCTTATTTTGTAAACAGTAATTCCACTGGAAGGCTGATTCATCAGACTTTTTAATGAGGCTCAATCCACTATGCCCTACGCCTGAGGAGTAGCTCATCATCCATGGAGAGACAGGCAAAGTTACAGTGCAACCTGCTAGATACCTAACCAGATGTCATTACGAGACCCTGTGTTTCCTAGCTGCTTCCTCACCCAGGCTGAGATCAGAGAGAAGCAGCAACCAGGGGAGGGGGACTCACTCTAGCTGCATGAGATAAGTCATTCTCATTCAGTGCCGCTGCCCAAGGCAAACTGTAGGCCTTGTTCTCTTTTTGTTCAATAAAGCTTTTCTGGGCACCTACCTACTCAGGGGACATGACCTGTCATGGAGGCCTGTCACCCACTAGGACACACTGCTACGGTGGCCCCTTCCGAGATCTGAAGGGAGGAAGGCATGGACACTTTTCTTCATATTCAAAGTGACTGAGGCCCCATGGAAGTTTCTGTGCTAATTCTGCCTTATTAGTTCCTAAGGATTCTCCTGCCACTACACACCTGGAATCAGTCCAAATCCACCCCATGAAATACAGTACAATAAGCCGGTCTCATACTGGGGATTGAACTCAGGCCCCTGCGCTTGCCAGGCAAGTGCTTATTCCACTGAGCCATCTCCCCGGCCCCAATTGTGTGAGCCTTTAAAAGACACACTAGAAAGTGCCTGCTTAGAGAAGCTCACATCCCTCTCCAATTGAAATCTTGTCTTAACCAGTTAGGTAAGCCTGCTTAGAACCATGGTTCCATCCCCAGTAACACATGCCATGCCAGCCCCACCCCCAGGGTGGACTGAGCCAGCCACAAAAAAAAAGTGAGTGACCAGAGCCAGGTGCAGTGCACACCTCAGCCCTGCTATTTAGGAGGCTGAGGAAGGAGTTTTGGCTAAAGACCACCTTGGGCATGCCCTCTCCAAAAAGAAAAGACTGACCAAATTAATGCTCTTTATCCAGGAAACTTGAGGGCAGAAAGGCTGCCACATAGATGAAGTATTAAACATAACCCAGGCCGGGTTTACAGAGCATGAGAGTGTGGTACTTATCCGGCGGAAGAGCAGCACTGTCCCACAAGTGACATGACCTGCATTGTGAAATGGTGAGCCCCTGTTGAGGGCCACTTTCAAGCAAGCAGTAGATCATGTGGCAAGAATGTTGTAAAAAATAGACCAAACCAGCTTAAGGCTGGCTTGGAGGAAGAGCCAGAGAAGGGAAGGTCCTGCCCCCCACAGTGGGATTTTCCTGCCTACATGCAAGGAGGCAGATAACCCTCCTATGCACAGACTGGAAAGCTACGTGGATCCTAATATAGACGGGGCAAACTCTTGGCCCTCATGTCCACAGACATATTTTAGGACAACGGAGCTTGGAAAACTTGAACCAAACAATGTCACCTCTCCTCATGGGACTACTCTAGACTTGCACAGTAAGGCAGCCAGTGTGGAGGACGACACTAAAGACAGGTGTGTGGAGCAGGGGCCTGGCTTTTAGTCCAGACTGTACTACATGCCTTAGGGTCCCTCCTTCCCTTTTCTGGGCCCTCCTCGGAAAGGAAGGGAACGTAACATTCTTTCCATTCTACGGGGTGTTGCCCCTGTGGCTGCCGGCCCCGGGAGTAGATGGAAGGTTACAGTTTTTGCCCTTTGGGCTACACTTGTGGACTGCCAGAGACCACCTCTGGCGGAAGCACCTGCCGCACTCAAGGCAGGGGAAGGGCTTCTCCCCCGTGTGCAGGAGCTGGTGCTGAGCCAGGTGGCTCCACTGGGCAAAGCGCTTGGAGCAAAGGTCACAAGCATAGGGCCGCTCGCCCGAGTGCACGCGCCGGTGGCTGGCCAGCAGCGAGGGGTAGGCGAAGCGGCGGCCGCAGTCCTCGCAGGCGTGCAGCTTCTCCTCTGTATGCGTGCTACGATGGATGGCGAGGGAGCCGCTCCGCCGGAAGGCACGGCCACAGTCGGGGCAGGGATAGGGCTTCTCCCCGGTGTGCAGGAGCTGGTGCTGGAGCAGCGTGCTGCGCTGGGAGAAGCGGGCTTCGCAGTGCTCGCAGGCATAGGGCCGCTCGCCCGAGTGCACGCGCCGGTGGCTGACCAGGCGGGAGGAGGAGGAGAAGCGCCGCTCGCATTCGGGACACGGGTAGGGCTTCTCACCCGTGTGGATGCGCTGGTGGATGACCAGGGCTGTGCGCTGGCGGAAGCGGCGGCTGCACTCCAGGCAGGTGTAGGGCTTCTCTCCGGTGTGCGTGCGCTGGTGGATGGCCAGCAGGGACGGGTAGGCGAAGCGGCGCCCGCAGCTGGGACACTGGTGGGGCTTCTCGCCCGTGTGTGTGGTCCGGTGATTGGCCAGGGAGCGGCTCCTGCGGAAGCAGCGGCCACAGTCCGGGCAGTGGTAGGGCTTCTCGCCGGTGTGGATCACCTGGTGCTGAGAAAGGTTCTTGCGCTGGGAGAAGCGTTTGCCGCACTGGTCACAGGCGTAGGGGCACTCGCCGGAGTGTGCCCGTCGGTGACTGACCAGCAAGGATGGGTAGGAGAAGCGGCGCCCACAGTCCGGGCAAGGGTAAGGCTTTTTCAGATTCTGAGCACACTTGTGGCTCTCCAGGGCTGGGCGGTCAGGAAAGGTACAGCCACAGTCAGGGCAGATGGGCCCACCAGACGTCTGCCTAGGGATCAGCCGGGGCTTGCTGGGCCTCCGCCCACGCTTCCCCTTTCGGGGTGGCTCCTTAGGTGGGAATGCTTCCTTCTCCCCAGTTTTCTTTCTGGTTCTGGTTTCTACAGAGATAGAGAAATTAATTTAACAATTACTGGCCTCCTACCTACTATTGTGTCTTATTTACAGTGCTACAGCTTACAAGAAGGGAAGACTCAGCCCCTGACCTCAACTGTTAATGCCACACAGCTAAGTGTGACATAGTGTTGTGGAAATAGGAGCTCCTAACAGGCTTGGGGAAGTCAGGGGAGATTTCTTAAAGATTAATCTGACTTTCAAAACTGAACTGAGGGCCTGGGATGTAGCTCAGCGACTTAAGTGCCTGCAAAAAAAACGGGGGGTGGGGGTGCTGCGAGATAGCTCAGTGGTGTAAAGTGCCTGCTTAAGCAGGTGCAGCTGGCCAGGTGCGGCAGCAGGAGTTCCTAGGGAGGCTGAGGGGCAGGAGCGTGCACATGCAAAGCTAGCCTGGGTGCTTTAGCAAGACCCGGGTCTTGAAATAAAATGGGCCAGCATATAACTCAGTGATAAAACACTTGCCTCGCAGATGTGAGGCCCAAAGTTAAATCTCCAGTAATAAAGCACACAAAACCCTGGGCGCAGTGCTGCACACCTGTCATCCCAGCAACCAAAGGAGGTTGAGGCGAGAGGGTTACAAGTTTGACTCGCACTATGGCAATTTATTGAGCCCCTCTACCAAAAAATCCAGCTTTGGAGGGCCTATCCCTTAGCTCAGTTCTTTAAGTGGCTGCTTCAACAAAGCAGTCAGGCTCAGGTTGCTGTGGTTCGGTCCGCACAACTCAAGCCATCCAAACCTGCCCTGAAGGCATTCGGAGCAAAAAAAAAAAAAAAAAAAAAAAATCCAGCTTAAAAAAGGATGGATATGTAGCTTAGTGATAGCACACCCTTAGGTTCCAACCCTAGAATCCCACACACACAACTGCACTTAGGGCTTTTACAATAAGCTACATCCCAGCCCTGAGCCCAGGGAGCACTAAGCTATAACCCTAGCCACTTTCATCATCATCATCATCATCATCATCATCATCATCATCATTATCATCATCGCTGTTATTAAGCAGGACCTCACTAAGTTGCCCAGGGCAGCCTTGAACTTTCAGTCCTGTCCTGGTCTCCCAAATAGTTGGACTGGAGGTGTATGCCACTGTACCCAGCAATTTAGCTGATTCTTTTTAATTTTTTTGGCAGGACCTGGGATTGAACTCAGGCCCTTGCGCTTGCCAGGCAAGCGCTTATTCTACTGAGCCATCTCCCTGGCCCTCTTGTTGGTTTTCTTGAGACAGAGTCTTGCTCTGTAGTTCAGGTTTGCCTTGAACTTACTGTGTAGCCCAGGCTGGTTTGGAAGTCAAGGTAATCCTACCTCAGTTTCCCAAGTTCTAGGTTATAGGTGTGTGCCACCACATCCAGCACTAGAACTTTTGTTGTTTTCTTTTATGCAGTAAATATATTTCTTAAAATGGGCAGTCAAGTTTCATGAAAAATACCTACATATAAAAAAGTATATGGATGCCAATCTTTCCAAACAACTTCTTTACTAATCTGGCTGATGTAACTTTAATACCTATAAATCATAATAGCAGTCTCCTGCCTCCTAATTATGTGTATGGAGGCCGGGGAGACAGCTCAGTAGAATAAGCACTTGCCTGGCAAGTGCAAGGTCCTAAGTTCAATCCCCGGTACCACAAAACAACAAAACAAAACAACAACAAAAGAGAGAGAGAACAGAATGACAACAAAGAACTAATTATGTATATGGAGAGTTAGCATAATTTAAAATGAAGAATTAAAAGTGTGGATGTATGGAGTCCCTTTTACTGCTACCTTAAAGTTTTGTTGGTGAACTCTTGTTTTCAACTGATAGTAAATAATGTCATAGGATAGTTTTCAAGTAAGCTTATAGTAAAAATTTGGTATAAGATAACATATTTTACAGAATGTAGATGCACTAAAGTCATTAACTTTTTTTAAAAGAGCTTCAAAAAAATTTTTAATTTTTATTTTTATTTATTATTTATTGTGTGTGTGTGTGTGTGTGTGTGTGTGGCCAGCTCAGCCCACCAGGGGGCAGGGCTGGCTGGCATGTGGTGCTGGGGGATTGAACCGTGGTCCCTGCGCTTTGCTAAGCTTGTTCTAAATAGGTGCTTTAGACCACTGAGCCATCTCACCAGCCCCAAGAGCTTCAAAATTTTAAGCATTAATTTGAAAAGCACCATAAACTTTTTATTTATTTTTGGTCTTTTTCTGAGACAGGGTCTCGCTATGCAGTTCGGGCTAGCATTAAGCTCACTTTGTAGCCCAGGCTGGTCTCCAACTCACAATAATCCTCCTGCCTCAGCCTCCCAAGTGCTGGGATTACAGGCATATGCCATCAAGCCCAGCTAAACATTATAATGTTTAAACAATTTTTTTTTTTAAATTTTATTTGTGTGTGTGTGTGTGTGTGTGTGTGGCCAGCTCAGCCCACCAGGGGGCAGGGCTGGCTGGCATGTGGTGCTGGGGGATTGAAACGTGGTCCCTGTGCTTTGTTTAGCTTAGCTTGTTCTAAGTAGGTGCTTTAGACCACTGAGCCATCTCACCAGCCCCTGTTTAAACAATTTTTATATTTAAAAATTTACTATCAGGCTGGCCAGATAGCTCAGCAGACTAAAGCACCTGCTTAGGCAGAGCACAGGGACCAGGGTTCAATCCCCAGCACCACAAGCCATGCCAGCCCTACCCCCAGGGCACACTGAGATGGTGAATGAGACTAGGCATGGTGGTACATGCCTATACTTCCAGTGCTTGGGAGGCTGAAAACAGGAGGATCACTATGAGTCAGATCTACGTAGTGAGACCCTGTGCTAAATACATTTTTTAAAAAATTACTATCAAAAATAGGAAAAACTAGGACCAGCAAGATAGCTCAGCAGACTAAGTGCCTGCTTAGGCAAGTGCAGAGACCGGGGTTCAAATCCCCAGCACCAGGTACCAGCCCCGCCCCCAGGCACACTGAGCTGGCCACTGAGTCTGGGCATGGTGGTATTAGCCTGCAGTCCCAGCACTAAGGCTGAAAACAGGAGAATCACTGCTGCATAGTGAGACCCTGTACCAAATACGCTTTTTTAAAAAGGAAAAACTGGGCTGGTGAGATGGCTCAGTGGTCTAAAGCACCTACTTAGAATCAAGCTTAGCAAAGCACAAGGACCGCGGTTCAATCCCCCAGCACCACATGCCAGCCAGCCCTGCCCCCTGGTGGGCTGAGCTGGCCACACACACACACACACACACACACACACGTAAATAAAATTAAAAAAAAAATAAAAAAATAAAAAGGAAAAACTATATGCAATTTTTTAATCTGTAACTTTTTCATCTAGTAGGAAAAAAAATCCAGAGAAATAAAGATTTAAAACTTAAACATGAGGGGGCCGGGGAGATGGCTCAGTAGAATAAGCGCTTCCCTGGCAAATGCAAAGGCCTGAGTTCAATCCCTGGTTCCGCAAAAAAAAAAAAAAAAAAAAAAACCTTAAACATGAGTTAAAATAATCCCTATGCATAATGTGAATGTCACTTGAAAAAAATCAAACTAAAAAAAAAAACCTCTCGGGGCCGGGGAGATGGCTCAGTAGAATAAGCGCTTCCTTGGCAAGTGCAAGGGTCTGAGTTCAATCCCCAGTTCCACCAAAAAACAAAACCTCTCATGAACTATTTAATGTGCTTTAACTACACAAAGGTACCTACTCTGCAAGGACCACATCCTGTCTCATGTCTTAAATACCTGCAGCATTGGGTGTGGGGGTGAGGATCTCTGAGTTGAAGACCAGTCTGGGCTACAGGCTGACCCTGTCTCAAAAAACAAACACTATTAGTGTTTCCAGAACTAGAATTTATATTTCTATTCAATTTTTGTTTGTTTTGAGGCAGGATCTCACTACATAGCCCAGGCCAGCCTCCAACTCGTACTGATCCTCCTGCCATAGCTGGGATTACAGCCATTCACCACCACACCTGGCTTGGGCCACGTGTTGTCCAGTGGTTCCCAAGCCCAGATGTACATCCAAATCAAATCAAACTATTAAAAAGATAAATTCCTACATATCAGTGCATTAAAAGTTCTGGGATGGGATCCCAATACCTGTACTTTTACCAAGTTCTCCAAATGATTTACATACAACAGCCATAAGTTGTTTTTGTTTTTGCAGTACTGGGGATCAACCCTAGAGCGCTACACCCCCAGCCCTTTTCTTCCCAAGTAGATGTGATTACAAGGTTGTGCCACCATGGCTGACTTCAAAGTTTTTAAGAAAGGAATTATGGTCAAATTTGAATTTTAGAGATATTCCTGGCCTTAGAGAATGTGACAGAAACTCCAGCCCAGACAACTCCATCTGCCCCGTGGATGGGTCTGGCTTGGCACCTGAATGACCCTAACCAGAGCGTTGGTTGGTCCTGAGGATAAGGCAGTGTGTTCTTCAGTCATTAGGTCACCCTGTCATTCACCGCAGAGTGAAGCTCCTGCACCCCAGCAGTGTTCCCTACAAGCCCTGTCAACCAAAGCCCAGAAACAGAAATTTCGAAGCTCTCAGCCAGGGCCCGACGCAAAACAGGCTGGAGCAGGCTCTGGGAGGCAGCCAGGAGAGCAGCTCTCTCTAGAGCGTACACGTGAAGTTCTTGCGGGTGGCCAGTGTCACATCGACTTGGGAACTTCTGGGTAGTGAGCGACCCCATGCCATCAGAAAGAAGCCCCCGAGGTCGTGCAAATGAACACGGTGCAGCAGCTCGGCCATGGGTCACGGTCAGACCAAGGCCAGACCAGAACTCCGGACTGAGTCATTGGAGGTCAGGAGGTCAGAGGAGGGCTGCGAGCTCCCCAGGAGCGCTTTCACTCACTTCTCTGGACTGTTACCCCTCTTGGGTACTCCTGCGGGTCTAGGGCAGCCGGTTCCCAATCATCAGTGTTTCGCTCCAACCAGGAGATGAGAGCTGGCTTGGGACCTGCGCATCCTGGGGAAGGAGAAGCGGTCAGAGGCCGGTCTTGGGCAGCCCCGGTGCGGCTGCTTCCGCTGGGCCCCTGCCCTCCGCCCGAACTAAGCCAGGAGCTGGACTCCCTGCCCTCCCCCACCCCGCCGCAGGACCCTTCGTTCCTCGGGGCCGCGGAAGCCGCCGGGGCAGGGCCTCACCGAGCGCGCCTAAGTGGCCGTAGGTCTCGCGCATCACATCCCGGTACAGGGTCCTCTGCGCGGGCCGCAGACACCCCCACTCCTCCGGGGAGAAGTACACGGCCACGTCCGCGAACTTCAGGGCCCTTGGCCTTCGTCCCCTTCTCTGGCTCGGCCCGGCCCGGCCTGGTCCCCGGGCGGGGAGTGGGGCTGAAGGCGGCGCCATTGGACCCCGAGACTGAGGAGCCCCGCCGGCCGAGGGCAGAGCGTGGCTGGGAGCCCTGGAGGGGATCGGAGCCGGCCGCCTTTGGGGCTAACAGAAACCTCGCTGTTATTCATAAAACTCTTGCCTGAACTTGGGTGAAAGGCACTGGAAGATGCCTTTGGGGAAAATGGCGGCGCTGCCACCGCACCGCCTTTGCCTGAAACACAGGCAGTTTCCAGCTATCGATTTTATTGACCGGAGCGCCATGCCGGCTTCCTAACCTCTTTGCCCTAAAGTGTAATGGCGCTGCAATTGGGCTTCACGCCCTCTTTCCTCACCCACCCCATTCTTCTCGCTCATTGGGCGGCGGCCAAGTATCGAGCGCTCTGATTGGGTATGAAGGAAGGCGGCCTATTTGAAAGCAGTAAACGGATACGTAAGGGCAGGCAGCTGGACCGTCACTGTGATCTCGGTGATTTCCAAAGTGGGGTTGCAAAGAGCTGCGATCAGTCTGGTTGGTTTTGTTTTTGTTTTGTTGTGTGTTTGTGTTTGTGTGTGTGTGTGTGTGTTTTTTTTTTTTTTAACTTTCTCTGAAGGAAAACTGTCTTTGCCTGTCTCTGAAGGAGGAAAGGATTTGAGTTACAGCTACTGTGGCTAACCCAATGCTGAGATTACTTTGGGATTTTGTTGTGTTGTAACTTCAGAAGAGCCTTTGCAATTGTTAATTTCGTTGTTGTCATTGTCTTCATGTTGTCCCCAGTACTGAGGATTGGACCCTGGGCCTCACACATGCTAGCTAAGTACTCCACCACTGAGCTCTTTTCTTTCCTTTTTTTTTTTTTTAAGTTGGAAAGGGATCTCACCAAGTAGCCTGGTCAGCTTGTTGTCTCAACCACCCCAGTACTGGGGATACTGAGGCAGCCACATACTCCCATGGTGTGGTAGATTGGGGCTTTTCCAAGGGGAACCACAATACAAGACACATTTTATAAGATGATTTTACAATCACCTGGGAATCATATACAAAGAGTAAAAGAAACCTGTCCACACACTGAAGAATCCAGTTGAGAGCTGGAGAGATAGCTCAGTAGAATAAGCACTTGCCTAGCCCCCCCCCCCAAAAAAAAAATATCCAGTTGAGGGCATGGATCCTAATAGCCTGCATGAGTCCAGCTAAAAACCTAGAGCTCGGGGGCCAGGGAGATGGCTCAGTAGGATAAGCGCTTGACTGGCAAACGCAAGGATCTGAGTTCAATCCCCAAAAAATCCTAGAGCTCATAACAACGCCTCCCACAAGTCCAACTGGAGGCCTGGAGCCCTGGACAATGTCTCATGCAGGCCCACTTCACAGATCTGTGCAGGAAAGGCCCAAAGGCGGGAGCTAGGAAGTCTGTGCCATTGGGATGACGGATCTGTGTCAGCAGGCTGAAGAATCTAAACTGGAGCCTGGAGGTGATACCCAAGGTACGAACCACAGCTCCCCCAAAAAGTACCACAGCCATCCTTAGCAACAGTGAGGTCTTGAGCTCCTCCAGCGATGAGGAAAGCTGAGTTCCCATCAGGAAAGCCAACATGACAAGTGTGGGGATCTGTTGGTCTCTCAGTGTGTGTGATCCATTGTACTCGGGGAGAAACAGCAGCAGAAATGAGGAAAAGTTAAACAATCCACTCATGAGTTTCTTGGGTCATGCTACTAGTAAGGAGGAACAAAGATTTAAGCTTGCATGGCAAGAAAACAACCTTTATTCATACCACCAAATTAGGCACCATTCCTTTGGGGGGCTGTGGGGGAGTTTGTTTGTTTATTTGGACTTGGTTTGGTTTTTGGTTTTTTGAGACAGTCTCAATATGTAGTTCAGGGCTGGGGAGATGGCCCAGTGGAATAAGTGCTTCCCTGGCAAGTGCAAGGGCCTCAGTTCAATCCCTGGTTCCAAAAAAAAAAAAAAAAAAAATGTAGTTCAGCCTGGCCTTGAACTATGTAGCCCAGGCTGGCCTTAAACTTATAGCAACCCTCCTGCCTCAGCCTCCCAAGGGCTGAGATTACAGGTGTATCCCATCACCACTAGCACTAACATTCCCTTGCACTAACCTAACTTACTTGCTCACTCAGGAAGCAACCTGAACTTTTGTTCTCAGCTTCCATATTCTGCACAATTTCCATTTTTAAAATTTTATTTTATAAGAAAAGAAAAAAATAAAAATAAAAGTTTCTCTTTTTTAATGTATTTGATACAGGGTATCACTATGAAGCCCAGCCTCCTAGTGATCCCCTATTTTCAGCCTTGCCAACCCTGGAATTACAGGGTGCACCACCACACCCTGGTCTCTGTGGCCAGTGCAGCACATGGTGCCAGGAATTGAACCCTGGCTCCTATGCTTGCCTATGCAGGCATTTAGTCTGCTGAGCTATCTAGCTGGCCCTAAAAGTTTCAAATCAGGCTAACAGAGGGTAACAATAATTGATACATTGTGCATTATTCTCTTCATAGTAATTACTCAGAGTACAGGATATAGGCATTAGTCAGCCCTGTAATCCTAGCGCTTCAGAAGCTAAGGCAGGGTATTGCCCTGAGTTTGAGGCCAGCCTGGGCTACAAAGTGAGTTCAGGGGTATCCTGAAGTATACAGCGAGACAGCGAGACCCTGTCTCAAAAAAAAAAAAAAAAAAAAAAAAGATCAAGGCAGGGAATAATGTCCAGACAGGGCCAGGGAGATAGCTCTGTGGCATAAACACCTGCCTGGAAAACCCAAGGTCCTAAATTCAATCCCCAGTACCAAAAATACAAGTCCAGACAATATTACCATACATTCTTCTTTTCAATGAATTAAGAGAAACCAGCTGTCTAACTATCTTAAGTAAATCCGTGCTTTTTTTAAATTTTTTTTTTTTTTTTTTTTTTTTTTTTTTTTTTTTTTTTTTTTTAGGGAAGGGTCTACAGGGTGTTTAGGGTCTCACTACTAGATCAGACTCATAGTGATCCACCTGTTTACAGTCTCCCGAGAGCTGGGATTACAGGCGGGTGCCACCACATCCAGTCTCAATTGCCCTCTCAGTGCTCTCCAAGGGTGGGGGCCGGCACGGCAGGCCGGGGGATCGAATCCTGGCCCCTGCTCCTGCTTGCAGGGACTTTAATCCACTGAGCTGATTGGCCAGCCCCCATGCATTATTTGTATATAACAGTTGTTCAATGTTCAAAGCGTAGTGCTAGGTACTCTGAGTAGAGAGGCATTCTCCATTATAACTCTGTATATTGCAATTGGTGTCCCGCCCAGATCCCTTTCAGTTTTGCCTCAGCTCCTGAAGGCTGCTGTCTGCAAACACCTACAGCTGGCAGTCTGGGCTTTTTCCTCCCAATTAACCCCCATGCGTGGACCGTGTGTTAGTGTGGAGTAGCCCTCCACCAACCCAGTGGATGTGGACAGAACTCGGCTGCCAGCCCCTCGGTGGAGACAGCTCTGAGCATGTTCTGCGTCAACTCTCAGAGCTTCCCAGGACTAGTTCCAACTGCGGCCCGTGGTTCAAGCCCTGGGAAACATAGGTGGTTTTTTTTTTTTTTTTTTTCTTTTCTTTTTTTTGGAGAACTGGGGATTGAACTCAGGCCCTTGCACTTGCCAGTGAGGCGCTTATTCTACTGAGCCATATCCTGGCCCCAGGTGTTTCTTGAACTGTCCTCTATCCCATCTCCCTAGAATTAATGGTAGAAGCAGCTGGGTGTGATAGTACATTCCTGTAATGCCACCTACTGGGAAGGCAGATGGCAGCCGGGGTGATATAGTAAGCCACTGTCCAAAATAAAACAATAAGCTTAGGTTTCGATTTGTTGTCCTGGAACTTTCCCAAAACTGACTCTACTTTGGGCTTGGCGTCTTCTTTTTTGGTTCTGTTTTGTTTCATTTTTGGTACCAGGGATTGAACTCGGGACTTTGCGCTTGCCAGGCAGGCACTTAAGCCACTGGGCCATCTCCCCAGTCCTTGGTATCTTCTTAAACACAACAAATGAACAAATACTGAATATGGTATAGCCTGGCTCAAAGCCGACAGTGTTTTCATTATGGTTCCTGGTCTAAGCTGGATCCATGACTTATTCCCTGAGAACTAGGTTCAGGAAGAGAGCTGGAGCTAGAAGTTCGGGGACCAGCAGTCAGTGCCCAAACAGCGTGGGAGACTGTGCTTTCCTTAGCAGAGTGTCCGCCCGGACATCCTTCTGTCCTCGGGTCTCACAGACACCACATGTGGCTCAATCCCCACTACCTTGTTTTTGATTGATCTGTCCTTTCCTGTCCCTTCCTTTTCTGTACCACCTTCACAGTACTTCATGAGGGAAAAGTCTGAAGATTTTGGCTCCTGCACACTACTTAGCTTGAGATGTTGGCACCCCTGGAACACATCTGGAAAATGCCAGGCCTGTGCTCAGGTTTTCCGGGCCTTGGGGACAGAAGTCTGGCTTGGGGGTTGCAACAGAAATCTGGAACTGTTCTGACTCAGCCCTTCTGTTTGAGAGAGCCACTGTGGGCTTCCAGGGCACTCTTGCACTTAAGGGTTCTCCGACTGGGAACAAAGGGAGAGCTCCCGCCAGAATGGATGTACCTGTGGCTGGGAGGACACAGGAAGAGAGAGATAAAGCAGTACTCGGCAGGAGTGGGGCTTCTTCCCAGCGTGCTTGTGCCAGTAGATAGCAAAAAGAAAAAAAGGGCAGGCCAAATAGCTCAGCAGATTAAAGTGCCTGCAAGCAGGTGCAGGGGTTGAGGGTTCAATCCCGGGGCCTGCCATGCCCGCCCCACCCCTGGGGTGCACTGAGATGGCAATTGAGACTGGTGTGGTGGGGTCACTGCCTGTAATCCCAGCTCTTGGGAGGCTGTAAACAGGCGGATCACTATGAGTCCAATCTAGTAGTGAGACCCTGAATACCCTGTATACTCTTCCCTAAAATAAAAAATAAAATAAATCAGTGCTCCAGGGCTGTTGGACTTTGCGGATGAGCTCGTGCTGGGCCAGTTTTTTTTCTGGACAAAGTGGACACAAGAGTACGAGTGGCTGGTAGAGTGGACCCATTGTTGGCTGCTCAGCCAAACACTGCGAAGCAATTCCCTAAGCATAGTCAGAACAAATGTGGGACTTTTTTCTAGCGTGGTTTCTTTGGGTGTGATCAGATCAGCCCACCTGGGGGCAGGGCTGGCATGCCACGTTGTGCCCGGGATCAAACTGAGGTCCCTGCGCACTTGCCTAAGCAGGCGCTTTAGACTGCTGAGCTATCTCACCAGCCCCTGTACTGTGGTTTCATTGGGCAAGAGGGTGTCCAGACAGGGTGGTGGGGCCCATACACAGTGCATGTGTGTGGCTCCTCCCATCACTGTCTGCGGGTGCTAGCAGCCTGTTGTGCTGGAAGCAGCAGCCATGGTCTATATAGAATAGGGCCTGTTCCCTGCATGCAGCAGCTGGTGCTTGGCTGTGGAGGCCTTCTGGCAAAACTGAGCCCCACAAGGCCCACAGACAGATGGAGGGTGCACCTAAGCGGTGCGCCATTGTTAGCCCAGCATGGGTAATATGCACTTGTGTGCACATGCACATGGATGGCCGGGCTGCCTTGCCCCAGAAGAAACATCCACACAGTTCCAGGAAAAGGGCCACTCCCTAGAGTGGGCCAGCGGATAACA